TAAAGCATGAAACCAATATAGGAAAAATCTTCACTTTACTCCTCTGATAATTATGGAAGAATTGTTTTCTTTAAAAACGTATCCTCTGTTAACCCTCATTTTGACAAATCAAAAATATTACACAATGCCAGTGCACAATAATATTTTACGAGATCGTAGTGAACTACTAACATTTAAATGAAAATGTGTATAGGGAAAGGAAAGAAAATTATTCATTTATTTTCCTTCCTGTTCTCTTCTGTCTTCTTTCCCCACTTTCACTTCACTTGTATGTAAAAAATACATCCTTCTCAGTGCGTTAGGCTTTACTTAACTTGAGCTGACATTTCTCCTATCCATATTATCATTGTTGTTGCGTTGACACCGCAATTTCCCTCAAGCTTTTAAGAAATTTACGATATTTTTCCCTTTTGTTAGCGACCGATTGACTTAGGTGGGCATGAGCTCAGTTAGATTAGACCATAGATGAAAGGATATATATTTTGTAAGCCTCCATGCCATTGTTTTATAATTTTACATTACATGACAGACATCGATTCCGGATCCTTACTCGTCTTTTACTCGTTCATTTCTGAAGTTCAACACAATAACTACCTCCCGAAGGATGACAGATTAGCTCATATAGTACCTATTTAAAAGTGAAAATAAGTTTATCGTACAAATCGTATTTTGAAATGGAAAGATTTTCGATTATAATAATCCCCATATAAAATTGAACTATATCGCGATAACTGGGATCGTTTCTTTGTTCTGTGAACGGGTGCCCACAACTGTCATAAAACTTGGAGACATTATTTACGCAAAGGGTTTTACAGAGCAAGAATCAATATTTGTTTTGTAAAGTAAAGCAAGAATTAGGTCACGTGAACACCAATTGTGATGCGGAACACAGACTTTCTCAGGGAGAATGTGAATAAAAAATTGGGAAATACCATTTAAAATTTGAAAATAGTGATGAATTTATGGTAGACAAAACGTTGGCTTGAATGTCTCCATATTAAAAGATGAATTTCTAATATTATATTGTTATTATTAACAAAATAATTATTTCAAACTAATTAACAATATGGTTAGCATGAGGGTAATCCAAAAGTAAACAAGTACTTACGATCATCCTCTCCCCCCCCTCAGTAGTAATATACGCGTACTTTGTTGATCTGGGTACGAACCTTGCGAGGGCCGGTAAATATGCGCTACCGATAAGATTTAGTATCAGCAATAGCTGGATGTATTCCATCAACGGAGCAGCATGTTCAACCGGGTAAGTCGATGAGTAAAAATGAACTACGATGAAAACTGAGTCAAATTGATATCGTTTACTTTGTAATAATTCTCACAAGTAAATGATTTATTAGAAAGCTACAACCTTGAGTTATCATAAAGAGGATAAAGGACTGATAGAGGGAAAAATTGTTGACAGAGTATGAAGCTTTTCATATTTCGGTTATAAGGTTTTCTTCTGATTTTGAGATAATCCAACATCTATTGATTTCACTCACTACAACGCAAATTTCGAACAGACAAACTCAGTTTCCATCTTAAAATAACCTTCTTATGACCCAGTGTATGAATGAAAAAAGAAATGTACATATAATGGTGGATTTCTTCGGGTATAGAGCAAATGGAACGTGAACTGAAGAGCTAGGAAACACTGAACAGCTATTTCGACCTGGTTGGGTATCCACAGCAGTGTGAATCGTTCGACCCAACTGGAGATCGTACCTGAGAACTCACAGGTAGAACGCAAGCATAATACTCAATCTTTTTTGAGTAATCGTTATTAATTATTCGGGTTGATTTGATGAAACTGCTGAAGAATATCACAAATACTTCACTTTTCGATTGCGTATTTTTCTCTCATTGATACCAGTACGTTTCTGATTGCGCGGAATCATAACTAAACAAATGATACGTTAATCACAATAAGCTTCCGTTTCCCGAATGATTTCTATCCTAGGATCACTCACTTCTTTTTCGCTAGAATGATATTTCTGGTAAACGGACATTAATTCGGTCTGATTTCCAGGATCGTCATTCAGTCTATTGTTTTGCGATTCCAACGTCAAGAATGTCACCGTGCTGTCAACATACAGCCCCTGTAATAACCAAATATAATAAAAAGCACGTGATGAAATTTTAAAAAGTATCCTAAGGTAAACCAGCTGAATAAGTGAGTGGCATAGGAAACTGTACGTTTACGGCAGACATTTTTAAAACGAAAATAGTGAGTGATAATGGAAAGTGTTCTTTAACAAGCTGTCTGGAAAATTCAAACTATTCGAGGCTAAAATTGAAATCACATTCATTTCTTAATAGGCAGCAATAATTACAGGTTTAAAATCCTTTCCATCAAAGCTTCCCTTCAAAAGAGGAAGAGAGCAAATACAGTTGTCTTTCACTTCAAAGGAGAGCAGATGATAAAAAGAATACTCCTATCGATTTGGCCCTTCTGTATAGTCAATGCAAACTATCTAATAAAGTCTGTAGTCTAAAACCATTTGACTCACTGATGGATTATTCAATGGAACTTTTGAGAATGGAATATTAATATTTTTTATTTGGATAAACGGATTTGTATCATCGCATATTACCGCCAACAATTTGATCTGTTTCAAATTATGCTTCGTTTTTTAATCGTCTCTTCAATTCCATGTATATCCTTCATTCTAGGTTGTGNGTTGTGGGCGGCTCTGCCATCGCCCGGCTCACTACTATGCCTGATCTATTAAAGCATTGTGTGGTCCGTCACTCCAAGTTTCAGGTTCGTGGTTACCGGCTACCTCACAAGATGCACATGAATATACAAAATCACGAACACTCACGCACTCTCGCTTGCTCTATGCACTTAGACCGTGAACACGCACTCAGCACCCACACCAACATTCGCGGACTGAACAGCGATATTGATTCTTTACACCACTTTCTCCATTATTTTTCCTTCCTCGTCCTTTTTTGACCAAAACACAAATCTCCCCTCGTCAGACACCACCCACCTTCAATTCTCTAACTACACTCTCCATTTCTCCATTCTACCTAAAGCTGATGTCTGCGCCATTATTCACCAATCAGTCTTCGCCTCCAAGATCCCAAAGCTTGAATTTTCCAATTGTGAATTTCAGTTGATGTGGCTGAAACTCCGACTTCCTTCCTTTACTCTTTACTTTTGTGTTCTTTATCGTTCCCCTTATAGAGGAGAATCCTCCATCTTTGATTTTCTACCTTCTAACATTTGGGGCGCAGAGCCGAACACTTCGCTTTGGTCAACAATCTGAGCCAACTAGTTTAACTCCTCACTGGTGTCCTTGATCAAGCTGGCGATCGTGACCACATCTTTGATGTAATTCTCATTTCGGCTCCTTCTTTCATCTTAGATATTTATATCCTTCCTCCCCTTGGTTCATCAGATCACTGTATTGTTTCTTGTTCTATTATGTTTTAAAACCCCGAGCCACCACCCACCGCGAGACGCACTTTCTGGCACTAAAACTCGGTCAATTGGAACGGTTTCCGTGATTTCCTAGCTGCTTATCCCTGGAGCGATTGTTGTTTCTCTTCGGATATTACTAAATCTGTTTTCAACTTCACCCACGGTGTTCTTCAATGTATGCAACTTTTTATTCCGCACTTTTCCAAACCCAGAAAACCCAATTCCCCTGAGTGGTTTAACCATGCATGTGACCGTGTTGTACGCCTGAAACTTTCAGCCTTCTCTCGTTGGCACCGCTCGACGACCATCTAGAGAACCAAAGAACGCTTTGTTCGCTGTCAAGCCGAAAAATTTATTTCACCCGCCACCGGTATCCAAATATTTTGGTCCTTGCCAAAGCCATTTCCTGTAATTTCTGCCCTTCCAACTCCGCCCNNCAATTCCTCTGGTGATCTTGTATGTCAACCAAACGAGAAAGCTGAGGTTTTTGCTTCTCAATTTGCCACCAATTCCACCTTACCCCATTTTTCCACACTTCCGCCTTCTTCCTTCTTCGCTGTCAACCCTTTAAACTTCATATCAGCACTAGGAAAATCTTTCAAACATTACGCTTTCTAAACGCAAACAAACAACCCGGTCAGGACAGTATTCCACCCATCGTCCTCAGAATGTGTGCTCCTGAACTGGATCCTGTTTTACGTCGCCTTTTCAGTCTTTCCCTTCAACTTTCTTCCTTTCCAACCCCTTGGAAGAACGTCATGATTTTTCCTATTACCAAACGCGGCGACCTTTCCAACCCTAATAATTACCGGCTCATTTCCCTCGCAACTGTTCTTTCGAAAGTATTTGAAACTATCATTTCTGAACAGCTACACACGTTCCTTGAATGCGAAGGACCACTGAACGGCCGCCAGTATGGCTTTCGATTGGTGACCTGCTTGCTCTTGTCTCACAATCCTGGTCAGCTGCACTCGATAAACACGGGGAAACACACTGGTCCCGCTTGACATCTCATAGGCCTTTGACTGAGTTTGGCATGAAGGTCTACTGACGAAACTACTCATGTTCGGATTCCCTCCAGCGCTCATAGCATGGATATCAAGTT